ATCTAATATAGAAGATAGGTCTACATGTTTATTGCTGTGGATCCTATATTTAGATTTGGAATCTGACTTAGTATTTTAAGAATACATTTTACTTTGTTTACTTAATTCTTAGTCATAGTAAAAGTCTATATATAATAAGTATGATTCATGAGGTGAAGAATAGTTATATACTTGTGAACTAAAATCTTCCACAGTTCTATTTATGGCATGAGCAAATGGGATAAGAGAATTCATCGGATACACAATGAATGTCTGAACTCCATAGAAATTGTTATGTGTGCTGCACACACTGCACATGGTTAATTAAGGTTCAGTAGCTTAAATAGCTAAGCTATTTATTTGTGTATTATGAAATATTTATCAAAATTTTATGAAAAATTTACCAAATCATGGACAATCCTAACAATTTTGGCATATTTGCTATTTTTAATCAGAAGGTGTAATATTTCTTTTAAAAATCTTTCTAATTCTAAAATAATGCTTGTTTATTTCATAAAATTTTAAAAAGCATAGGAGATTAGAAAGAATATAAAAATTATACTTTAGACTGATCATCACGAAGGAACCACAGTTGACTAAAAATTTATAATTTGTTTTCAAAGCTGTCTCTAGGTTATGTTTGGGCTTGATCCAGATTGGGCTGATCTTTTCTGAGGCACTAATAGATGTGTAGTATAACTCCACCCCAAAATACTGAAATCATCATAGAGAAATTAAATTGTGTGTACACTGAATCAGTTCTATGTCAATATCAGAAGTTGTCTGTCTTGGCCTGTTTTCTGTGTTATAGAAAAATAAAACTAGAAAGTTTATAAATTAGAGGTGTATTTAACACACAGTTTTGGAGGTTAAAGTCCCAAAAGTTGGCAGCCCCATCTGATTAGGATCTTTTAGCTACATCACAATATGGTGGATGATATCATGGCAGGAATACATGCAAGAGGGGAGAGAACAGTCACATGGTGAGACAGGAAGAAAGAGGAATTCAGGGTTCAGACTTGCTCTTTCTATGATAGTTCACTCTCATGGGAAATATCAGAGTCCCATATAAACTATATTGCTCTATTCTGAGAGTGGTGCCCCCTGTGACATAACTACCTTTCTCTAGGCCTTGCCTTTTATATTGTCTTCTACCTCAACACTGCCATGCTGGGGACCAAACTCCTAGCACATGGACTTTGTGGGGGACGCACTCAAACTGTAGCCAGTGCCATAGCAGTGTCAATTAGTTTTTTTTTTTTTTTAACAGCTATTTTTATAAACTCATGAGTGTAAGCAGAATTGACAGGCTTGATGCATGATTATTCCTATTCTCATTGAAGGTTACTTGCCCCATCTGTATAAGGTATCTCCTTCATTTGTCACCTCAGTCCCTTTGATGTGATTTTACTGGCACTTAACTGTCTTATTCTCCAATATTAAAAGATATTCTAAACTTAAATGCATTTATCTTACACTATCTTGCCCCAGACTTGGAATCAGCAATTTCCCCAAATCCTTAGTTTTTTTTTTTTTTTAGTGGTTGTATTTCAAGAGTAATCTGAGACTAGGATGCTCACTGCTCTTGAGTTGTCTTTCTGTCTGAGATTTTCAGTGGGCAGATGAAGAGAATAAAATGTGGGTGTGTGAGTGTGTGTATTTTAAAAGACAAACTACCTCATGCCTTATGCTGATATTTCTTCCAATTCAAATTCAGAATTTTACTTAACCATTTTATATTCTATCTATATTTTCTAACTTCCTCACTGAAAACCCATGTGAATACTCAGACACTGGGGATAGTGGAGCATCATTGAAGGTTAATTTACTTCATACCACCCCAGAGTAACAGTCTCAGAATGACAATATTAATACCACCACTAGCAATAAAAGCAGCTAATTTTGGGGGGGGGGTGTTGGGAAGGGCATATGCTATCTCCATTCTTTCTTTCACTTTTTATGACTGTATACCACTCCTTTCGAGCAGAGAATGACACCACTGTATCCAGTACTTTCTCCTTTTGAACCTTCTTTTCATCTGGGTTGCAAAAATATAATCAGTGCTAAACACCAGTCCTTGTGTTAATGTGTCTCACTTTCCTCAGGACCAGTATGTCCTGAGTTCTTTTATGTTTTCAACAGCTTGACTTTATTCTTTGTTTTTCTTCTTAAAAGTTATTTTGGTAAGGTACAATTCTTTGGCTTACATTTTCTTTTCTTGATTATCTCAAATGTGCTATTCTGTTTTTTTTTTCTTCTAGCATTCATTAAAGTATTGCTGTCAAAAGTCTGATGATGAACTCACTTTCTTTTTACTTACCAAGTTCATGTTCTTTTTGTCTATATGTCCAAGTGCTTGTTCCTCTTCTTTAAATTCCAGCAATTTTGCTAGGACATGCCTTGGTGATGCATTGGTTTTATTTGGTAGACAGTATGTTCTTTCAATATGTACTTTCCATTTTTTAATTTTAGTAATTTTCTTGATTTATAACTTTTTCTCCAAGAGCTCCCACTATCCGTATATTGTATCTTCTTTGTCTGCTTACAATATTTGTCACTTTTTCTCAAAGTATTTTTATTTCTTATATTTCTATTTAATTTTTTTCCATTAGTCTGTTGTGGTTAATCACTATTAAGTTCCTTCTAGTGCATTATCTTTCCTTCATTTCCAATTCCTTCATCTCATAGTTAAGTTTTACCAATTCTGATTTATGTTGCTATTTTATATCATTGGTTGTTTTCTTATCATCATTTCTGTATTGTATGATTTTCTTAATTTTCTTTTGGAATAAGAAGTTTTAGCTTTGCAATGTTTTATGGATGCATATTTCTTAGATGTTTTTGTTATCTGCAGAGATGTTTTTCTGCCCTCTGTTTTCTTTTTTTCATGTGGTAACTTTGTGTGGGATTTAGCTTCGATAATTTTGTTTTCCTAATTTATATGGAATCAACTTCTCTTAACTTTGTCTGGTAAGGAGGCTTGGTATAGATAGCTCTTTTAAATTCACAGAGATGCCTCTTTTGTTGCAGTATTTAAAAAACATGGCTGTTTAGTGGGCGTGGTGGTGTGCACCTATAATTCCAGTGACTTGGGAGGCAGAGGCAGGAGGATCCCAAGTTAGAGGCCAGTCTCAGCATTTTAGTGAAACCCTGTCTCAATCAATCAATCAATCAATAAAAAGGACTGGGGACATAGTTCAGTGGTAAAGCACCCCTGGGTTCAATCCCCAGTACTAGGGTTGGGGGAGATTTTAAACTTCTGTTCTTATTTTTATCTGAATCATTTTTCTCAATGTCTGCTATCTCTGATCTGCTTAATTTTAATTCTACTCATAAGAGTTGTGGGTATCCTCTCTTGGAAAGAAGCTCTGACTTAAATGTTTTGTTGGAAATGTCAAACTCCTACTGGTTTCAGTGCTGTTCTCAAACTGGCCACCTGTACTTATAGTGAATACTTGCTGGCTGCTTTGGGGATTCTCATTTTTTAGAAGCATCAGATACCCTGTTTGTCCTCTGCTCTTCCTCACACATATGCTGACACAGTGCGGGCTTTTGGTGGTTGATTGTCTTCATTTCTATTTTGGGGGCCAGGGGGTATCTTATTTCCTAATTGCATTGTAAATATTGTTTATGGGATTTTGGTTATGCAATCTGGTTACCCTGTTTTTAGGTGGGGATTTGGAAAATCTGAACTCTATGCTTCCAATATTGCTTCTATGTTTCCAGAATTCTCTGATTTCTTTTGGAATAGTTGGGCTCATTTACCACAACCCTTCATTTTTGCAGCTAGTAATCAACAGAAAGGAAATGTGAACTAACAATGTACTGTGTGGGTGTGTGTGTGTGCGCGCGCGTGCGCACGCATGTAGGTTTATTTGGGGAAGGAGTTCTGCTGCTGACAGCATTGCTATATACACATGTGGTTGTACCCTGAAAACCCAGTGTTGTAACTAGAAATACCTTTTGCATTTTGAACAAGGGAAGTTTTTCCTTTGGTTTGTGCTGTGGTCACTATTTGTAGAACTAGTCTTTATTTTCAGGTGTATTTTTGTCTCTCAGAATGACTACAACATTGCTAATTACCCTGGGACAGTTAGTCTGTCTCCAATTTTTTTTTTTTTTTTGCCCCCCTCCTCCCTGGAATCCACAGCTAGTCTTATCTGAAAAAAGAATTGGACTCCTGGTTGCCTTTGAAGCATTTCTTCAGTTTGCATTCACTTTGGTTCCTCTTTCAGTAGAGGCCTGGGTAGATCCAATACAGTTTTTATGTTAGGGTTCTTGAATAATTTCATTTTATCTCTTATAAACCACTTGGTAATGTAGGATACATTGATCTGGTCAAAGACTTGGGCAAATGAAGAAATTGCTCTTAAATGAAGACAAATTTTAACTAATGTTAATGAATGAAGACTGATTTTTCCTCTTTTACATTTATGCCATCATTTGTAATCGGTTACCAGGGCAGCTGGAAACATAATTATGCAAGATGACTTATTAAATGTCTCCATTTTATTGTATATTTTGTAGTGTATTTTAAAGATTTAAGAGTAAGATATTAAAATTCAGAAGTAAACCCACAGTAGAGCATACAATTTAGGAAAATATCTTAGTATTTCCATATGCAAGGCAAGCTAGTTTATGATATGGAATTATTCCACAATAATCAGAGACACACTAAATGTAAAAAGGACCAGTTATAATACCACAAGGATTAGAGGAGACTAAAGTCATCCATAAAGAATTGAATTTAAACTGTTCATGATGTACTGTGGAAATAAAAAACAAACAAAAAAAGCCTGTGTCCTCAATATGATGTGTGTAACTGCGAGCCTGTGAAACCTGACTGAGTCTGAAGTATTTTTATTCACAATTCTATTGATTAACCAATTTATTACTATATGTGATAAAAGGTATTTAGAAAATTTTTGGATAATTTTGTTATCTTAAGATAAACCAAAATTGCCCATTTATACTCAAGAAAATTCAGAACCATTTCCAAGAGTAAACCAAGAGCCAAGTCCTTTGTAGAAAAAATATATACTTTATTTTTAACTGGAAAGGTGCAAACATGTAACTTTTGGTCACACTCTCAACAAATAAACTGTCCAAAAAACAGTCATAGTCAAAATAGAAACAAATGCTTCTAGGTGGAAAACTGACCTATAGAATTATATAGAGCCAGTCATTTTCCAATAAAGGCCATTGGTCACTGAAAGTGAGGCTACCACATTTCCTGTCTAGAAACCAGATTTCCAAGGACATTGCTACCTCACCTTCAGCAAACCATCTGTTTTGATGGACTGCCACTCTAACTGATTACAATTTCCACTTGAATATTCATTTCAGGCTTTGAATTATCAGATAAGCTTCACGTCCTACCTATGGTGTTCAGAACTTGAGACTAACATTTGAAATATCAAAGCATTAAAACAAAAACAAAAAGGCACGAACAACTTTAAATTAACTTAGATAACTGTACAAATATATATATATATAATATATATATCCACAATATTTACAGTATCAATAAAAAAATCTGGCTTGTTACAGGCAAATTAACTTGCCCCAAGCTGTCCAGTCTAATAGACAGTTTTCTGATTCCTAAACACTGTCATTTGAATCAGAATGTCGGGGCTGAATCTGCTGTTCTGACTTAAAGAACAACTTGACTCAGCCTCACAATGGCTGGAGAATGCAGATCCTAGCTGTTGCTGGAGCTACAGGCAGATCAGCAAGTATGCTAAAATTTTCCTTCTCAATTACACTCCAAGTTGCAGGCACATTACAACTTTAAGATGCAATCTGATGGTACTAGGCTTCCTACTGGTGTCTCCACTTCTCCTGAAGCCACCCTTTAGTGTACATTCAGGCACTGTGTGCTACTGCAGTCCTACTGTCAAGTCTTAACTTTCTTCAAACCAGTGTCTGGGGTTGAGAGACTATTTGTATGACATGGCACAATATTTTGAATTTGGTGGGAATTTTTCTCCCCCACTTAGTAAAACAGATTTAAATTAACTTGTGCTACTGAAATCATTTTACATAAAAATGAGATGTGAATCAGTTCAAGTTACAGTCGAATGAGTTCATGTCTCTCACTCTCTGGCTTTATGCCATGTCTCCATACATCTTCCTGTAGTATAGTGACTCAAAGATGTCATTGTCTCCAGGGCAGTTGTAATGGCAGGCACAGGTCTTGATGAACATCATGCTCTTCTTCATGATCTCACCATCAGGACACTTGAACTCCACAGGCAGGGTGGTGGTTCTGTGAGGGGTGCAGCATCGACCATCTGTGCACACACCACAGAATTTGGCCCTGTATGTCTTCACACTGGTGCAGCCAGAAAGCTCAAACTTGACAGGCTTGGAGATTTTGGGGGTACGGATGCACTTTTTGCCCTTCTATGGAAGACAAGGAAGAGAAGAAACATCATTACTACAGGAAGAGTGGCTTTCCTCAACCCTGTGTTCTAGCCTTAAGTTGTCTGAACTTGTGTTTATATTTGAGGACAGAAACTTTGAGTTCCATTTGCCAGTTTTCCAAAAATAGTCATGGAGTCTTTTGGAATGTCTTGAATTAACTAACACTGGGGAGGATTTTGTAGTGGAAAACTGGTGGCTCCTATTACTCAATCTCTTATTCCAGCCAAACAGCTCCATGGTTAGATATTTTTGGAGATAACAGATCTATAATAACAAGGGTGGCAAGAGACCTAACTTTGGTCCCATTCACTGTCATTCCATGAAAATGAGCTAACAGGAACAGAAAACAAACCTTGATGTTCTCTTCTAGGTCAGCTTCACAAGGCCTGACCATGCAGAGGCGACTCTGCTTCTCTAGCCTGCAGAAGGCGTTGTCATTGGTAACCCGGGTGGAGATGCCCATCCCACAGGTCTTGGAACAGGCGCTCCACTCTGTGGTCTGGACCAGGCAGTTGGCTCGCATCATAGTTGGGTCTGGGCCAAAGGTGTCTTCCAGACGGTAGGCTGTGAAAGTAGAGCACACAAACACAAGGTAAAATGCCCGGATAAGACAATTTCCCCCTTTTCTTGGCATTGTCAGCACTCAGCCCTGGAGGAGAATGACAACACTGACTTAGAGGAAGATTCAACTCACCAGCCAAGGCAGGGCCAACCACGGTGTGGTCCTTGGGCTCATCACACACCCATTCCTCACAGCACTTCCCAGGCAGCTTGACCCTTCTCGGGAAGGGGCAGTCAGGGCTGGGCAGGCGAACATCCATACTGCACAGGGGCACGCAGCCCACCGCTCCATCTAGGCAAGTGCACTGGTACTTGCAGCTGCTCTGGAAGGACTCTCCACTCCTGTACACAGTCCCGCCGAAGACGCATGGGGCACCATCTTTGGCTGCAGAGAGCCAGGGGGAAAAAGCAATGGAGGTGAGAGGTCAGGCTTCAGCTCCAGGTGCTCTAACAGTAAGCCCATCAGGGCTGCAGAAAAGACTGGGTTGGAGCGGTTTCTTTTTCCAGTAGGCGGGTGGGAGTTAAGGAAAGTCCACTATCCGCGGTCGAGGAAAGGGGCGGGGGCTGCGGATCTTACCGGTGCACACGCCAATCTTGCGGTTGGCTGGGGAACCAAAGTCACAGAAGAGGCCCTTGTGCGGGTCGCAGGGGTCGCGTTCGGTGCACAGTTCGCCCAGCTGCTTAGCGCAGACGCGGCAGCAGCCGCAGCCGTCCAGCACAAGGCTCACGCCGGCCGGGCAGCGAGGCGCCGGCGCTGTCCCGCATTGGCACTGCCCACCGCAGTCCTGGCCGGTGGCCGGCTGCAGGGAGAAAGGGGCGGTCAGCCGGTGCTTTCTCGCTCGCTGGGTGCGCACGCCCTCGGCGCCGTGGGGCCGGCCCTCCTCCCTCCATCCTTCCCTACCCAGCCGTCCGACGCCCTCCCCAGCAGCCGCGGCAGGGACTCCCGGTGCTTACCCGGCTGCACAGGGCGAGGAGGAGCACGAAGGCGAAGCGGACCGGTCCCACAGCGGCGGCCATGGTCAGGGCGCTGCGATCGGAGCGGGCGGCAGGACGCTATGCGAGGCGACGGCGAGGGGCGCGGTGGGCCGGAGCCGGGAGCGAGCTCGGAGCGCAGGTGGGTGCCTGGACGCGCCGGCTGTGGTCTCTGGAGCTGTCGGCCGGGGTGGCTGCCGTCGGGTTGGAGGCGGTGGGTCTCCTGAGGTTGGAGTTGCACTGGCTGCCTCCTCTCAGTGGGGAAGAGTTGTTGTGTGAGATTGGGGCGGGCGGCCCGAGGCTTTTATACGCTCAGGACGGCCCGGCTCGCCAATGAGCTGAATGGAGTCCTACACAAACAGGGACATTCCTCGCATTCCTCCCCACCTTCCTGCCTCATCAACTCACACCGGATTGATCCTGACCCCTTGACACTCAGCATTCCTCCGTCTGAAAAAGCTGGCACACTTCAGCTCACCAGAAAAAAAAAAAAAAAAAGTATTTCCAGCCCCAAATAGGATTTTTTTCCCGATCCTTTTCGCACCACTCCTGACTTGTATATCATTTAAAAACACAAGGGCTGTTATTTTTATGCCTTTGCTGTGCTTAAGAAATTTGCCCTATCCTATCCACTAATATAAATCCTTTTTAGAAGGTAGGTAACTGAAAAAGTAAACACCAGTGATTCCTAAAAAAAAAATTCAAAAGTTTTCTTTCTTTTTTTTTTTTTGCTGGTTTTTTTTAAAATAATGATTTATGTTTAAGAGGCTGTAGGCTCTTGAAACTCTATAGAGAGCAGAAAGTTGCTTCTAATCATTTGAAATCCCCAAGTTGCCTACCTGCAAAACCCTGAATTCTTTATTTAAAATAGAGGAATTTGATCCTTTGTAACTCTAGATAACAGTTTGGTGGCCCACAGCCAGACAAGAAGAACAAAGCCAGGGGTCTGAGTAAGGATGCAAGTTCATGGGGGAGATTTTCTCTTAATACATGCAGAAGTATTTTTTTTTTTTTTTTTTTAGTGGGAGATAGAGAGGGAAAGGGGTTGATGGGCATGGGTATTTCCAGAAAAATGGGTCTATTGTTATGTTAGAGAAAGATTATGTGTTGGGTAGGTAGAAGCTCTGAGTGTTAGGAAGGGATGGGAGGTGAGAGAAGCAGACAGGAGGAGGCCAGCCAGAAGCTTGGAGTTCATTTGGGGCATCTTAAACACAGCTGTGCTGAAGTCTTGGAGAAGGAATGATTTTACTTACACTAAAACCTGTAATCTTCAAATGTGAGTTGGACTTGGTTTGTCTAGAAGCAAGAAAATTGACTATGTAACAAGAACACTGACCCCTCTTGTGTCTGGTTATAAACTGTCAGTGAATAATATATTTTTAGTGACTCCCCTCACATCTGTGACTAAGTGATTGTGACCTCTAATAGAGCGTGGCCTAATGCAGCAAGGTAAAATTATAGAAGGAATAAGTCTTATTTCTTCTGTTGTATGCAGATGTCAAATTTGACCAGTATATACTTATCTCTGTTTCTTGATATTGCTGCTTAGCTTCAGTAAGGATCCAATTAACTGTGTATTCATTTAGAGTTTATTTTGTCTCCTGGCTTTTTTGTTAATAGTTCCAATTACCATTTTATGTAAAGAGTGTGATTCTGGGGCCCTGCCATATCACTTCACATTGGTGTTACCAATGAGTGGATTTCTTCCAGTTGATGATGCTTCAGAATATAGGTGTAAGGTTAAGTACACCTATATTCTGTTTCTGATGCAAAGACATACTTTAGAAACAACACATAATAGAATTATAATTTGAAAGCAGCCTGTTTAAACTGGCCATTTTTTTTTTTTTTTGTTTCACTTCATTCTATTGAAAAATAGCCAAGGGTTGGTTGGGGGAGGGCACTTCAACTTGAGCACATACCACATCATCTGTGCTCAATTACCTTGTTAAGCAAGCCACATGTTGTATAGTGCAGTTGCATGTCAACAGTGTGAATGGCCAGCAAGGGGCCTCTGAAGCTCAGGAAGAATTTTCATCATTGTCATTTAATGTTCTTTCCAAGCATTCCTCAAAGAGAAGAGGCCTGCTAGTTCCTATTTAAAGAAGGAACATTCCAAGTTATGCTAATAGCCACATGTGTATTAAAGGCAACTTGGCCCCCAACTTTTTCTTCCCTTGTGGATGATTTTAAAAGTTTGAAATATGTGGGAAGCCACAGTGAAATCTTTCAAGGCCTAAACCCCCAATTATATGTACCACTAATGGTTGGAAAGGTGGGGTGGATGGGGGGAAAGGGAGGGATGTGAAGCTGTAGCCTCACCTAACATGGGATGTGGGCTTTGTGGTGAGCTCTCTAGCTTGCAGTATAAGGGAGATGGGAAAGCAGTTGGGGAATATTTGAAACCTCAGGAGAGTCTGAGAGCCACCTCCAGTAGTTTCATGCACACAGCAGGAGACTCATTTATGAATGGGATAAGTTGCTGGACTGGGTTATAGGTGGGTGACTTGGGTGGTATTCTTGGACCTGTCATTCACTAGTCTGAGAGAAGTCACAACAAGGAGCTATAGTTCCAAGTTTCCCTTTACAAAATGAAGGTAGTAAAAATTTTTTAATTTTTTAGGGTTCAATGAGAGTTAAATAGATTAAAATTCTTGAGATTAAAATTCTCAAGGAATTGATACTAATTTTCTTATTTTTATTTTTCTTAATTCTCTCTCTACACACCTAAGTATGTTACCATTCTGCACCATTGTTAAAAATGTCAAGACATTATAAAAAATTTGGTTTTACTACAAAATTCAAGTTACCTCTCAAAGTCTCAATAAGTCTGTAGTGAGCTTCGGACTTATTTAATACTGGCTAAGAGAAACTATGTATATTGAAATGTAGAGAACATGTGAAATTTCAGAATAAAATATAGATTGAGGCTTTATGATCAAAATTCATCTGAAAAGCGTTGATAGAAGAGATCATTATTAAGAAAGTCACAGAGAGACAGACGCACACACACCTAGAGAGAGAAAGAATGAGAGAAGACACTCACGACATTCACAGACTAGAAAGTATGTTTTTATTGTGTTACAGACCATTGGGTGCCAGGAAACTCAGAGGGAAAGGCGGACACTCCGTCCTCAATTCATGCCATGGCATCTGAATTCTTGCACTATTATAAATGACTCAGCAAATGTTTGTGTGCGCCTGGGCGGTAAAGTGGAAATAGTGGCTTCTTATAACTTCGTCCAACTCTGACTTATCCCAACCCTTTTGAGTGACAGTAGGTCAGAATGGGAGAGAAAAAGCTCTTTGAATTTCGGTGCAAAATGGTGAAGATGCACTAATTTTGACTTGTAAGCCAAGTATTTAGTAGCAGATGCTTTTTTAGAAAGTACCCCACTCCCCAACCCCAGTAAAATGAGGAATTCACTAAACTGGCCACTGAGTCGTTTACCAAACTATATAAGGTATGTGTGTGTGTCTACTAGGGCATGGTTGGTGCATGTCACTAAGCTAAATCTTGTAAGATATTCTGCTGTGGATGTACTACATTCCTTCCCTTATGCTTTTTTTGTGTTCTCTCCCTAAAAAAAGGTTACTTGGGCTGGGGCTGTAGCTCAGTGGCAGTGCGCTTGCCTTGCACATATGAGGCACTGGGTTCGATCCTCAGCACCACATAAAAATAAGCAGATAAAATAAAGGCATGCTGTCCATTAAAAAAAAAAAAGGTTACTTGATCAGATATCAGACAGAGAGAAAACCTGGCAGGACTACAGGAAAGTGGCCAGACTTGGAGTGTTTGTGTACTTAAAGAAGGAATCTTGCACATTTTCAACTTTTAGTTGTAGACATTTTCTTATAAGAGCAAGCAGGAGTTAGTGCCAGCCCTCAAAGCGGAAATCAAAGCTCCCAGGGAAACATACTGGAGGAATGTGACTCAGAGCCAAAACCTGTACGCAATGCATACACTGAGCTGTCAGACTTATAGGAAGTCTGGCCATGTAAGGGCATCTGGACAATGAGCGATTTGTCCTCAGGGTGGGCTGGGAGTGGGCTTCCGATGTTTCTAGCATGCCTCAAGTTCAATCGTATAAATGCATTCCAACCCTCCCCCCAAAAAAATTATGCCAAAGGCTTTTTGAAAAATAGTAATAAATATTATTCTAAAATCTTCAGGAACCCTAGCTTGGTTTACATGACCTTTTATTTGCTGAAGATGAAGGTTAAGGAGAGGCCATCAGCCCAGGGAGTTCAGAGGCGGGAAGGAAGGACGACGGATGTTTGCTATCTAAATTATATTCATTACCCTCCTGCTTTTTCTTCCTTATAATTAGTTATTCTAAGTTTCTTAGGATATTTTCTGTTGCAAAGGTATTTGTCAAGGTATTTGAGCCATCAAGGCTGCTCTGTGTGGTTTGTGTTTTATGTTTGCCTGCCCCATACCTTGCTTGTGGGTGGAGTTGGGGGCTAGAGGAATGAGAAAGGAAGCTTTGTTTTATAATAAGATATTTCCTACAGCTTACCATTTGTTTCACTTATTTTGTTGGTTTAATTTGTTCTGTTAGTTGACTTAGGATTCATGCTGTCTCTGTTCAGCTTTTGTTAATGGGAGGAGGTGCCAGGGAGCACAGGTGTTCCTAAGATCCGTCCTGGTGGTCTCAGAGGCTTCCCTTGGCAGTTGGAAACAGACGCATTACAGTTTAGCAACCAGGAGTGCTTACAACACTTTCAATCAAACTGAATGTTCAGAGTGTCCTTGATGATACTCAAGTTGATGTGTATGCCTATGTGTAGGTGTCATTTAATGGGCATGAAAGAGAGAAGGTCATTTTTTAAAAATGTGTTGTTTGGGGAGACTCTTCAATAGGAGGAGAGAATTAAGACTAGATAGTTTATACCAAAGAATGCAAATAAATGAAAGGATACATTTTAAAAGGACTGGTGTAAAAAAATTACATGATGTCCCTAGGGATTTGGCTGAGGGTAGGGATGTGGGGACCATAAGACAGGTCCATAATTTATCCTTGCAAATGTGCTCCCACCTCCAGCCAGGACACCTGAGTCCCCTTCTAAGGACTCCAGGGCTCCCTGGAATACTTTTTTGAAAACCATTAGAAATAGACTGGAGGGAAGGCTAAGAGGCTGGGGGTGTGAGTTCCATACCTGACATTTGCGTGCCATGTGGACTTAGATAAGGCACTTATCTTCTCTGAGCCCCAAATTTCCCACCTGCTCACAGTTATCATGCAACTCAAGGAGACAACATGTATGTAAGCAATTTCTTTTAAG